ATCCCGCAAAATAAATAACACATGATACAGAGTGACGGGTACATCAGAGTGGCTTTTTTAAAACATTTTTTTAAAAAGAATAGCAGCATCTGTGGTAGTTTTAGTCCTTGAAAGAAACCATGATTCTGAAAAAATTTCAGCCGAACTATATTTCTCCCACGAAAGACTTTGTCCACCTTATGATACTTGATCTCCCATGGAGTCTCTAATAATATTCCTTCCTATTTAGCCCCAGAATCTATGATCCACTTTGAGGAAGAAGAAGCAAGGGCAGTAGCATTATTACCTGTTGTAGCCGCGGCACTCATAGACGGCGTAGCAGATTTTAACTGGGCATACTCAGCGGCAGAGATCGTGACTGTGTCACTGGCTTGTGTAGCCACGTGGGCAGAGTTATTTCGTTGCTGTTTATTCTGAAGTTTTCGACATGTGCGTTTTGTATGCCCTGGTTCTTTACAGTAATAACACACTACTCCACTGGAGTCAGAAGGGGCTCCCCCTTGCTTCGAACCACCACGGGTAGGCCCCCCGCGGTTATCACTGGGACTACAAGTCTCATAGGTGCCTTTACTGAGCAAGGCACTTGTAGGAATACTAGCAGCTGGTGGCAAGACATTCTCAGCTCTCATTACTCTGGAAAACACATCTTGAAGGTCAGAAATCTCAGATTCGAATAAGATTTGAGAGCGAACTGTGTCGTACTCAGGTGGGAGACCAGTAAGAAAGCTCATAATAGCCATTTGCTCCCGTTGCTTATGCTGAACCTTTAAATCAGTAGTAAGCGACATTAACACATTCAGCTCTTCATACATCCTCTTAAAGTCCATAAAGTAGGCTTTGAGAGGGCGATCCTGTTTCTCAGAACGATAGAAAGCTTTGCAGACCTCGTAAACACGAGAGATATTTCCTTTTCCTGAATACAAAAAATCTAAATAATCTATTAGTTCCTTAACCAATTCACAGTGATTAATAGAAGGAATAATCTCACTGTCAATGGAATTACGGATCTGGAAAAATAACCGTGCATCATCCCGCAACCAGGCCTTTTTTGAATCAGTTGTTGGAGGATCATCGGTCAGATGGTCTTCCTTCTCAATGCTTCGCAGATAGAGACGAATTGTTTTACTCCAATCCAAATAATTTACCCAAGTCAACTTATGATCAGTAATTTTAGTAACAGTTGGGACAAGCTCCGAGACAGATTTAATTTCAGCCATAGATGAAGTGCACTAACCAAAAGGAATGCGAAAAAGTGTCACACAGGGATACAAAGCATGATACCTGAATCACCTAATGAATACCCAAGTAGTGAAAAGGCCAACAGCTACACAGGGAGTTGCAAACAGAACCGAATTGCACAAAAAATGATGAACCATACGGAACCGTACGGACGCCGGAGTGAACAGTACCGAAAAATGATGAACAGTGCACCACGCCGTACCCACACCAAGGAAGTACCACAAACACGAAAGGAAGCGCTGGGAAGGGGGGTTACAAGCTCACACGGTAATGTTGGTACTGTAGCAACCGAAAATTACCACCCAAAAAAGAATCTCACGCTCTGATACCATGTAGAATACAGAATAATATGGAAAATAATTCTCTTGTATTTCATTGCTCAGAATATGCACATATATATACAAGTGGGAGGAGCCTTTGCATTAATGGCTCATTATGATAATATCATATCATATCATATCCTAATCATAATTACATAATATTTACATAATATCATATCATATCTCTACAAATATTAGAAGGATATGACATTTGTATTTTAACTGCCCTTAATTTGTCGTTTTGGGGTTACTCCGAAAGTTAACCGAATTAATGCAATATAGTGCACAATCTAGGTCGTATTCACTTTGAGGAGCCGAAAATGAAATTAAATCCTAGTAAATAAATGCAAGTAGCTTAAACTATAAAAAAGGATTTTTAATTTTGAGGAATTGCTAACTAAATGCCTTGAATTAAATTGAAGTTAAAATACTTTTTTTTTGTTTTTATATAAAAATGATTAAAATGAATGAAAATTAAAGAAATGAAAATGAAACACACAAATAACAATGATAATAATCAATCCTCCAATTCAACAACGCAGGCAATCCTCATTCCAAAAGATACGGGAATTAAAACAATGAATTAAGAATTATAATCAAGCTTAATCCAACAACCGAGCCACTTCGAATTGCCACAAAATATTTTTCCAAAATCCTAATTTACTAACTGCAACCAAAATAGTAAAATAGAATTAAGGATGCTAAAAACCAATGCTTAATTAAAATTCTTAAATCCAAAATAATATAATTAAAGCTAACAAGAGACAATATGATCCAAGATTTCAAGCCACCTCAGAAAATCACAATATATTAACTCCAAAATCAATACAAATGTCATAACCACAACATCATAATTGAAATCAAAACTATAAACAACCAATGTCAAATGCTAAACAATAATCCAGCCACAAAAATCTCCACAGATAATCAGATTTAACAATATAAAATTTTCTATTAATCAGAATAACTATCCTAAGACTTAGAAATTGTTAAACAATTATTAGACAGGAAATTAAAGCAACTAAAACTCCCTGATGATCCAAACTCCTGTCATTATTGTTGAATTTATATACTCTAGCCTCGGTTTGCCATCAAAATTGTTGTAATCAAAATTCTGCTGCAAAATTCCATGGAGGAACACTGTTCACGCCGGGAGAACACGGTGAAAAATTGATGAAGGATGACGCCGTCCAGCTCCCTGCTTTCTGCCTCTGTTCGTCGCTCATTCTGTCGTGCCCAGGAGAAGACGAAGGTGAAGAATGGTGCTGTCACTCTCTCTCACTCACAGGTCCCTGTGCGCCACTGGTTCTCGTGTGCGTCGCGTCTTGTTGCTCTGTTTTTACTTCTCAGCCGCCGTCCAGCGTCCGCCCGTGTTCGTTCTCCCCTCTCGCCTCACTTTCTGCCACCAGGAAGAAGACGCGGAGAAGAAGGTGAAGGTGATGCCATCGATGGAAGATGAAGGCTCAGAGGAGACGGGGATTGGTGACTTCAGTCCTTCGTTCTCACGCCGTCGCTGGTCCTTCACTCTGTTCGCGCAGCCGTCACTGGTCCCTGCCCTCAGCTCTGTCTCGTGCGGCCTCCAGCTCGTGGGTCTTGTGTGTGCTCTCTGGTTCCGCGTTCAAGATCAGCCCAGAAGACGAAGGTGAAGTGGCCGATGATGATGATTCTCGTGTTCTCCCTCCCTGTTGCTCTGTTTTTTCCTTCTCAGCCGCCGTCCAGTGTCCGCCCGTGTTCATTCTCCCCAAGATGAAGAAGAAGATTGTAATAATATATATTAGGGGTGGAGCAAAACGTAGCGTTGTGCTCCCCCTTTTATTATTTTATTTTTTTTTAATTTTTTTTTTAATTTTTTTAATTTTTTTTTATTTTCAAAATCTTCCAAAAACCTGCAAGTAAAAATTCAAAGATAAAGTAGCATTAATTGTCCTCAAAAATCAACTAGTTACAATTAAACCAAAATATGACAATTTTGCCCTTATAAAATAATAATTCAAAATAAAACATATTAAATCAACTAATCAATCAATTAAAGTCAAAATAGACTAATTAAGTTGACAAAACCCATATAAAAGATATCAAAATATATAAAAATAATTGAGTTTGTCAATGAATAGTATGTCTTTCTCAGAAATTGAAGAAAACAAATCAAGCTTTTCTTTTGTTGTGCCTCAGGTTGTACTTGCATATTTTCTTTCAATTTTATTTAGAACTGTACTATCAATAATATCGGGTGTGTTTGGAATTGTGTTTAGATGGAAAGAAGCCACGTTTGAATCTTAAAAAGTGCTTTTAGCTTGCTTTTGTCTTTGCATCATGTTTGGAACAGCTTAAAGAAATAAGAGCTTTTGCTCCAAATCGCACGAGAAGACAGAAGCTATTTTTTAATGCTCATGGCTTATGCTCATGACTCATGTAGTCTGATCATGTCTCGATAGGTGTGTAGGAAAACAAAAAGAGCATCACCCAGCACTAGTTGACAGGTTTAATGCGGCAAAACCCCCAGTTAGATTTTGTTATTATTTATAATTTATAGTTTATATTTTTTTTGCCAACATATTATTGATAATTTATAATATTTAATTATGTATTTTTAATATTTATAATTTTTTCAATTATACATTTTTATTTACAAATTTTTTTTATAAAATTTCCAATTTTTAAAAATATATTTCAGTCATTAAATTACACTTCTTCCTGTTAAAATAATTTAAATTCATCATATTATGTAAATTTATTTTTTATCATTTTTTATTATTTAATAAAAGTCATACCTATTTTGATAATTTTACAAACTAAACTTATGTATACAATTATAATCTAAATAACTTTTTTACTTTTACAAACTAACTTTTATAAAATTCAATTCAAACTTAAATTATATTATCTAATCTAACTTTTATCCAATCTAACTTTTTTAAAAGTCAAATTGAAAATAAATTACTTTTTCTACCATTAATCCAAACAGAACCATCATTAATGGATTTGACCTTTGCTTATCAATATATCTTTCTATTTCTCAGACCAATTAAATTATGTAATTTTTTCGTTCTCTTTTTCTTTCTTTTGATGCCCACTTAAGGGTATTTGTACCCATGGGCAAAAATTACAAATCTATTTGTTTTCTGATTACAAATTGCAATTTGTTAGTAATGCATGGAGGCTAAAGAAGGACAATTATAAGATTAGAATTCACATTATAGCAGCATGTAGCAATGTTGCTGATGGGAATGTGGATATTGAAGGAGTAGCTGATTCACCTACCAAAGTAACAATTTATTCTAGCACATATTCATTGACTTTCTTTGTTCTCAAAGTAAGAATCTTAGAGAAGATCTAGGATTGAAATATAATTCATGAAAAATAAGAAATTTTATTAAGGCAGAAATTTATAATAATCACATATCTAAAGTGGCATTTCAAGCTCATTTTTTGATGTTGCTGTCAATTTTGACTTCTCCCCCGAAGACCAAGAGCATTTTTAATTTGATTTAGCTCCTTTAGCACACCCATCATGTTCATCCCTTCTTTCAGAGATTGCACTGAACAAGCAAGTCCAATGTCAAACAGTGAAATTAGAGTCCTCTCATGGTTGGGATGCATATGAGCCGGCTCTTCTGTCCTGATTTCTTCCATGGCTATTGATATTGTTTGTGGTATTTGGTGGGGTAGAACAGCTTTGTCCACAATCTCTAAAAGATTGTTTGGAAATACAGCTTTGACATAGCTATGAAGATTGTGACCATCTTCAAATATTTGATCTGTCAGTATTTTTCTAGTTAACATTTCCAAAATAAGAATACCAAAAGAATACACATCACCTTCTTTTGACACCCCAGAACTTATTCCATACTCTGAAATAAGCATGTTAGATTACAGTAAATATTTAGAAATTTCATTGTATTGAAAATAACAAAATAAAAAAATATTTAATAAAAAAAAATGGAATTTACAAGGGCTTCAAGCCAAAATAATAATAAAAAAAATTGCACCCGGAGGAGCATAGCCAATTGTCCCTTTTATTCCAAATGTGCTTGTTTGCTTTTGAGAATGGCCATTAAGTGTGGCAAGTGGTCTTGCTAACCCAAAGTCACTGACGTGAGCCACCACATCATCATCAAGAAGGACATTGCTGGGCTTTAAGTCACAATGGACAACTGGTTGCTCATCTTCATAATGAAGATAACATAGTGCAGAGGCAACATCATATATAACATTGAACCTTTGACAAATATCCAATGTTGACAAATATGCACTTTCTTCATTAGGATGCAACCATTTCTCAAGACTTCCATTTGACATATATTCAAATACCAAGGCCTTAAATTCTTGTCCCTTGTAATCAATGCCTGAGCAACATGTCAAAATTTTTACCAAATTTTGATGCCTTATGTTTTTTAATGCATTACATTCTGAAATGAAAATCTTTTGGGCTCCCTTCTTTTGAAGGTCCAATACCTTTATTGCTGCAATTTTATCTTCTGATTCTAACCTTCCTTTATATATTGAGCCATAACTCCCGGATCCAATCAAGTTGTTGGTAGAGAAACCTTCAGTTGTAATGTGTAGATTTTGATATGAAACCTTTGAAAACTGTTCAATTCTAGGTGAAGTTGAAGATGAATTCTTGTTTCTTTCACACCTCTAATAGAAGAGAAACAAAAAGATCAATAACAGAGAAAAAGCCACACATATCGCAATAACCATGGGCTTTAAATTGTGTTTTCTTTGCTTGTCAAGTTTCTTAGGGCATATGGTAAGTGCAACTCATAAATACCACCACAAAGATTGCTGTTTCTAGTCACTGATATTGCACTTACATTGCTGAAAACCCCTTCTATTGGCACCTCACTATCAAACATATTGAACGAAACGTTCAAGTATTGAAGAGAAGAAATGTTCTGTAAGTCGATTAGTGTTGATCCTGGTAGGTTGTTTTGACATATATCGAAATGTGTAAGACCTTTCATCAAAGCTAGCGAATGAGGCATGGGCCCATTAAAGGTATTATTTTGTAAATTAAGGTATTCCATACTTGTGCACTCTCCTATGGTTGAAGGAATCTCTCCTGAGAGATTATTTTCAAAGACATCCAAAGTGCCAAGGTTTTTAAGTGTCCCTACCTCAATAAGCAAAGATCCATTCAATGAGTTGTGAGATAAGTTTAACACAATAGACAAGGAGGGAAGACCAAAAAGCTGCAAGGGTATAACTCCATGGAAATTTTTTTTCTAAAAGGTCTAAGCTTAGCATCCCTCAACCATATTCCTTGAAATTGTTAACACAATCAATTCACTAAGGTTTCCTAAGGAAGCTGGCATCTCTCTTGAGAGTTGGTTTCCATCGAGACCTAATTCTTTTATCTCACACAAATTCCCAAAAGAAGTTGGAATAGCGCCTGAGAACTTATTGTATTCAAGACCCAAGATAGTTGAACTTGTGCACTTTCCTAAAGTATCAAGAACAGTACCATATATTTGATTACCAACTAAGAATAGTTTAGTGAGTTGAGAAGACAAATTTCCTATGGAGTTAGTTAAAATGCCTCCAAATTTGTTGCAACTCAAGCTTAATATTTCAAGCTGGCTATAATTTTTCAAGGATGTCACGAAATCAAGGTCACTATTTGAGTTGCTCCTAATATTATTAGATTCTAAGCTTAGAAGGTAAAGATCTTTTAGGTCTCCTAGACTGGGAACTTCACCCAAAAAATGGTGTGAAGAAATATCAAAAAAATTGGAGTGAAGATGCATTTGTGATGGAATTTGGTATTGGACCAGAAATTTGATTCATACCTATGGTTAAATGCTCCAGATTTGGAAGGGTGGAGAACATGTTATACGGAAGCCGATTAATGTTCAAATGCTTCACTGCCAATGATATCACAGTGAGAGATGAAAGGTTGTAAAGTGAGGAAGGAAGAGCACTTGATAAAGTATTCATTGCTGTTGCAAAAAGTGTCAAGTTCTTCAAATGGCCTATCTCCTCCGGTATGCTTCCTTCCAAGTTATTATAGGCTATTGCAAGGTAGGTGAGGTAAGTAGGATTCCATATAGACATTAGGATTTCTCCAGTTAAATTGTTGGTAGAAAGTTGCAACTGTTCAAGCTTCTGAAGACCCCCTAGCTGATATGGTATTCTACCAGTGAGACTATTCCCTTAAAAAAACAAGTACCCCAATTTAGTGTAATCTGTCAAGTTCCAAGGAATCTCACCAAAGAATGTGTTGTTTGAGAGAATGAGTGTGTTTAGCCTGAACAAACATCCCAAATTTGGTGGGATTTCTCCATGGAAACTGTTGCCTCTAAGGCAGAGATATCTCAAGAAAGAGAGATTCCCAACATGAGGCGATATGATCCCACCAAGATGACAACTTGTCAAGTTGAACTTGGTGACCCGCTGACGCTTGTGGCCGCATGTGATTCCGGTCCACGTGCAAAAGTGGTTCGAACTATTCCAAGAGCTCAAGATTTCTTAAGGATCATGAGTTATTGATTCTTTAAACTTGAGCAATGTCAGATAATCTATCTCGTTTGATGTAGCTCTAACATGTTGGAAACAAAGCAAGTTGATGCAGATGAAGATGATAAGGATTAATGGTTGAAGGTAGTATTGGGAAAGAAATGAAAATGAAATAATGGAGGCAAAAACCATGGTTATGCGGAAGAGCGTGAATGGTTTTGTGGATTCCCATATATTGATATGGTGCTGCCATAGTATAAATAATCATGTGTATATATACCTTTTATGATATCTATAAGGGTTAATAATCTTTTGATCCTTGAAATTTTGACTTATTTTGGTTTTAGTCCATCAAATTTTAAACCAGCAGCTTTATTCTCTACACTTTAGTTTGTCTTAAAACATTAGTCCTCGAAGGTATAACAATTGTTAAAATATGCTAAAGTGTCATCAATGACGTTAGAAGTGGTAACTTGACTTACTGGATGATATATAACTGGATCTTGGGTGGATAGTAGAATACAACACAATGAATAGCTCTTGAAACGACCAATAAAGAAGAAAAAATAAGGGGCTAAACCTTCTGTTATTCATATAAAATCTAGTTAGGTGTTATCTGATGAGTCCACATCACCATTTAATATTGTTTTTGACATTTAGTAGATTTTAACACTACTACATCTCTAGGGATTAACATTTCAAAATGGACAAAATTTTAGGGACTAAAACCATCGGTTTTAAATTTGAGGGGCTAAAACCAAAATAAGCTCAAATTTCAAGGACCGAAAATTATCTTAAACCTATCTTTAAGGGAAAAAAAACTTAAAATGATAAATTTAGTCAAAGAGCTAGAAAAATACAGATTTGAACAGAAGTAATAAAGCAATCAATTACTGAGAATCTGCAGGTAATTAATTAATACCTGATATTATCTCATTGTGTATGTGTACGTGATCCTGAAAAAGACAAAAAAACATATATTAGGGTTTGGTTAACTCTTCTTCTCCTAATTAAAACATGAATAGATATTACTTTTTTTTTTTTTGAATATGTAACTTTCACAGAAGGTCATGGAGATTGGGAAATTCTCTGAACATTTGAATTTTTATATAACATTTATTTGAAAATGATACATTTTTAATCAAAACACGTAATTAAATTTTAAATATAGTACTAATTCGCCGTATTAGTTTGAATAACACACAAACTATGATTGATTCAGTCAGTCTTCTATTTATGCAGGGCAACAAAATATTAAGCAAAGCAATGGGGATAAGGTCGTCCATTTATGACCTACACGGAAATAGACCATGGTCTAGTGAGGGGCTCATTCTAGGGGGTGTTTGGATAAGGCAAAACCATGGTTTGGAGAATAGCTTCTGGAGAATAGATTTTGGAAAGAATAGATTTTGAAAGAATAACTTTTCTGAAAAAGTGATTCTGATAAAGTGAGAGTGTTTGGATAATTATTGTCAGAAGTGCTTTTTGATATGTAAAAATTACTAAAAAGGATATAAGTTTAAATGATAATTACATGTAAGATATATTTCATAATATATGTTTATTTGAAGAATTTGTAATATAATTTTGGTTAATAATAATATAATTTTGGCAGACATAATAAATAAGACATAAATAATATAAATAATAAAAAATTAATGTGTATATATATTAATAATATAATTAAATATGTTTTTAGGAAAATGATTTATTTTGCCAAAAAAATTTATTATTTCTTAAAGATGAAATCCCATAATTTTTTTTTCACAAAATTAAATAACCACACAAAAAAATTTCATATTAATTGTCTTAATAATAGAGGTTGCAACGAAATATATCTGTCCAAATAGTTTTTTTTAACAACACATTACAAAAATTAACACAATATTTTTTATTTACATGATTGACTAATTCTCACGATTAAAAAAAAAAACACCATGTATAATCAAGTAAAGAGTACAATTTTTTATTGCAAACTTGAAAGACAGTTTTAGGCCAAAGAATTGTGGTTCCATCCCTTCCAGCATCGCTGGAACCACCGTGAACCTCGTCAGAATCACACCTACCACCCTCTTCATTTGCAAGTACGCCATCTCCTTCCCTAGGCAAATCCTTGGTCCCGCCTGAAACACTGGATAGCTAAACAGATCTCTCGCCACGTTCCTCCACTTGTCTGAATCTTCACCACTTCTCTCTCTCTCTAACCATCTCTTCGGCTTATACTCCGCCCACTCGCTCCCCCACAGCTTCTTCATCCTTACCATGAAGGACCGGCGAGCGAAGGACCGACGAGCGAAGTACCGACGAGTGAAGTTTTCTTCAGAGCGAAACGCCGAGAGTGAAGGACCGAAGCTCCGTTTTCTTCAGAGAGAAACCGAGGGTGAAAGAATAATACCTGACGCCTGCTCTTGTACCTGGGCCCACCTCCAGCTATCAATAATATGAAGGAAGAAGCTAGCTCCGGATAGCTTTTTTCTAAACCAAGGTTTTGGGGGCCAAAACCATGGTTTCCCCCAAAACCATGGTTTCAAATTAAAATGGGGTGTTTGGCTAATTTCTCCCCAAACCATGGTTTGGAGACCCAAACCATGGTTTGGGGAGAAAGCCAAAGGAAATAGACCATGGCCAGAATCATAAAATAGCAAAGTATGTGATAGGCTCATTCTAACTAACACTTCAAACATCACTTTCAAGAAAAACGTAACTAGTGAGGGTTGAAATAAGTTATGTTAGGCTAGTTTTTAACAAATATGTCATAACATGCAATAGATATTTGAGGTCTGGGTTTAGACTTGAGTTTATATATAGGTTTATCTTGGCTCAGGCATGGGCCTTCAAAATCCCTAATAAGGCCTGAATCCTTTTCAATGTAAACCTTTAAATAGACTTAAAAAACTATACATCCCTCAATCGATCTATATATGTATACACACACATAACTCTTCAAATAAATTTAAAAGCCTATGTATTTCAAAAGCCTAGGATTCATCCTTATTCTCACTTGCAACATAAAAGTTTAATAAGATAAAGAAAATAATGCATAGTGATAATAGTTATTTGAGTAAACAGGAATAAAAGAAACCAATCATGCATTGACTAAGTGAAAAATAGTTAGCCTAATAAATAATCATTGGCAAAAAATTAAAAATTTGTTTAGTACATTACAATCAATTTATCAACCATTTATATGATTTTTTTGACAAAATTACCAGACCCCAATCTCTGAATTTCTTTTCACCTAATTATTTAAATGTAGAATAATTAAGAGCATTTTTTTTAGAGGAAAAATTAATGTAGTAGATATATTTGTAAAAAAATTTCTTATTAAAAAGATGGAGACAAATTTTCTAGGGAGAATTCCAACTATCCAGCCAAAATATCTAAATTCAAATTAGAATATACATTTTTAATAATTCCTAATCAGGATATGAGACCTAATTAGGAATTTTTAAATATTTTTAAATGACCAAAATGTCCCTCTTTAATTAAAAATAGAAATTGATTATTTTATCCCTCCCAAATGGTTCACCTTTCTTATTATTTATATTTAGATAAAAAAACTTATACATAATTTTTCACTTTTTGAAATTTTGTATATATAACTAAAACCAAATAAATATTTTAATAAAAACGTTTTAAATTGTAATATAAGTAGTCTTTAAATAAATATTTTTTTGCGTGTTATAAATATTTATTTTAAATTTTTAAAATATTTTAATCACTAGAAATATTTAGTATTAAGTTGTTTTAATTTACATTGCTAATAAATAAAATAAACGTAGATGATAAGAATAAAAAAAATATTTATCTAAAGGCTACTTATATATAAATTTTAAACATGGTAAAATTACTTATATTTTTTCATCTTAAAAAATAATCATAAAAATGAGGGAACATTTGGGAGGGTTAGAGGAGTAATCAATTTTTCTTTTTAACTAAAGAAGGGCATTTTAGTTATTTAATAATATTCAAAAATTTGTAATTAGGCCTCACGGCGTAATTAAGAATTTGTTAAAAGTGTAGGTTTGAATTTGGATTTAGATATTTCGGTTGGATTTATTTGAGATTCTCCCAATTTTCTATCCTATAAAGAATATTAGAGGGATTAAATAAGTTTATCATTTTCTTCGTATTGCTATCTAATTTAATTAAATAGGACAGTAAATGAGTAAATGACCTCTATGTTGCATAAAAATGGTTAGGAAAAAGGTTAAATGCGATTCCATCGCACTAGCTTAAACAAACAAACAGAAAGCATAAGAGAGAAAAAGTGTGAAAAACAGATGTTGATGATAGTCTTATGGAGTTCAATTACTATTGAAGACTTGATATCCCGAAGCCCAAACGACTGGTCATCAAAATCATAGACTCTCCTATTCAAAGTGCCCCCTTTTATACGTGAGAGAAACTCGCGATGGGTGGAGATTTGAGTTATAATTTTTTAAAACAATGGAGGTCCCTGCACTTGTTAATTATGTATATTGTTTTGCATATACCTGGGTTAGATGATGAAAATCAGATTTGTAGGATAACTCATTTTGGTTTTTATAACAGTAGGATAACTCGTTTTAACTCATGACCAATGTGTGAATTGTAAGAAAGATGAGAGATTGTTTGCAGTTGATTTGCAATTCGTTATTTCCAAGTCCAATTGCTATACGTCAAGGCCGTAGGAATTTATGAAGGGGAGTGCTATTTGCAGGCTAGATGAGGAAAAACATTTACATGAAATGTATAACTAAGATGAATAAGTTGAAGTCGATATGAAATTTGGAATCTCTCTGGCCCTTCTTTTTTGTCTTGGCAATGAATGATTCCTATGGCTTAGTCAAAGATCATGATGGAATTGGCTTTGGTTATTTGTGTTTATATTAATCTTACTGGCCAAAAAAAAAAGTTCTTATTACTGCTAATTCCTTGAATTTTTAAAATGATAACATAATCACATCTGTAGCCATCATAATCGATGTCCCTAGAATAATACAAGTATCACGTTGTGATTCAGTTTGTAGAAATGCCACTTGGGAACGGGAAATATCACCAGTCAATAAAATTAATAAGTATTTCAAATTGTTTATAGAAATATTTTATTACATAAAAATATAATAAGCGTAAAGTAGCTCATATAAAAATATGGTCCCTCTCCTCCCCTCCGGAACCAAACAAAATAACATTAAAATCCCTCCCTTTCTTTCTCTTCCCCTCCCCTTCATTAAAATCCCTCCCATTCCTTTCCCTTCACTGAACCAAACACACCCTAAGTGCAATTCTCCTTATATTCTATGTGGGTCAGATTTTCCATGATCCATCAGCGTAAGCAAAGATTGAGGAGTTCGGCAAAGACTGAGCCATCATTGTTGAAGGAACTATAGGGAATAATATAGCCCGAAATTAGATAAGTTTGTGTTAAAATTGAAAAAGTATTTAGGAAACTTGATTAAACCAAAAAGACTACTTCAATATACATGGAATTAAAGATAACGGCTAAATTTGATATGAATAATGTAACACTACAATAAAAAAAATAAAAAATATATTTTGTATAATATTAAATCTGGACCATTCAAATGCTGATATTATGATTAGAAGATGGAAGAGTACAGAGGAGGATGGGAAGGGAATATGAGAGATTCCTGACTGCTTCTTAGGGGTGTTCATAATGCCCAGTTGCCCAGTGTGCCTGCTTGAGCTTGAGAAAAATTTGCCCAACGTAGTCCAACAAAAGCCAACCCTGAAAAAAGTGGGCACTTTCAGGCTGGACAGATCACGGGATCATATATAATATAATATCATATATTAATATATTTTTTATACTATATTTCAGTCATTATTTATTGGGAAAATGACACTAAAGTCCCATGGAAAACAAAATATTGCTTCAAACTTGCTAATTGCAATAGAGTTCCAAAGGGACTTGAGTGCATTAATGAAAAAGGTTAGTTGACACACATGCTCCTACTAAAAGACACGAAACACTGTAGAATTGATTTCCAATGTCTTCTTCTTTAAGTTCCTTCATGAGAAAGAGAAGCTTGCTATAAAGGAAGCAAAGTTGTGGAGTATCCTTCCTATCATAATTAGTCAAGTCCAAGCACCTTCTGTCTTTATCGTTGTGACCAATTTTGAGGTTTGAAACTTTCTTTCCTCTTATCTCCTAAAAATTTGTGGTTGGCATATTGAGTTTGTAGAAAATCACTCTACCTTTTAGTTGTTGAAAAGCTTTCATTTTTTGTTTGCTGTAAACAAGGAAACCAATACAAAGATTAGTTTTTGGTTTAGTGTGTGTTGGTAATTTAAGTTGGGGTTTCATTATGGGTAAGCAGGGTGATTATGGGTGTTCTGTTTTTGGATATATTTTGGATGGGCTAATGGTGGGTTTGCTATGTTTGGGCAAGATTTAGTGGGAATGGATGAAAAGGATGAAGGTTGGTGTCGGTAGAAACCCTTACTGCGGAATGGGGGAATATGTTGTCAATGTAGGCCGCAATAATTGTCAATACAAGTGCTTGACTAGTTAATTATAACTGTGTCATATTGGTTTATGTTCAAGATGGCTAGTGTGTATGGAAAGCATTTGTTTTTTTTAATACAGGGAGGAGTTTTTAAATAATGGAGAAGATTATATGCACTAAGGAGGAGCAAGACACTACAAAAAAACATGCTTTTAGCGACGGAATTAGCGACAGACTAGCGACGGAAACGGATTAGCGACGGAATTTGTTCCGTCGCTAATTCCTTTGTCGCTAATTGATTAGCGACGGATTAGCGATGGAAAATTTTGTCGCTAATTACCGACGGAAAATTCCGTCGATAATCCGTCGCTAATTCTTGACTGAAATTTTCGTCGCAAAATTAGCGACGGAATTTTTCTGTCGCTAACCCGATTTTTTTAAAAAAATAAAATAAAATGCCACGTGGCACCTCTACCAATTGCCACGTTATCACTGGAGACCACCTCCACGTGTCTCTACTACCTCACCTCTGCCTGCCACGTGTGCTGCCACTTCACCTGCCATCTCACCTCTGCTGCCACATCACATATCACCTTTGCCTGCCACGTGTTGCCACCACATAATTTCCTCTTCAAAGTGACTTCTCCATGGCTCGAACCCAGGACCTCCTCTGTGCGCGCGTGCGGCTTTACCAGTTGAGCTGCAATGAACCTGTTGACTTATTATGTAAAATTAAATATATATATATATAATATTATTTTACACAAACAATTATATATATTATTAAAAACTAAAAATATACT